CGGGGCCGGAGCCCTCGGCAGCGTGTCCATCTCCGCGCGCCCGCGCCATCTGATGGGTCCGCAGCTGGAGCCCCTTGCGGCTCGCGCCCCGCGACAGACGTGCCGGGGGGTGGACAGCAGAGGCCCGCTTCCCGGGGCTTCTGCTTGAGCAGCTACTAGTGGGGAGTTCGTGTCGTAATTACAGCCCGTGTGATGCTCACGCGGCCCGGAGCGGAGCCCGAGATCCCCGAGGGGCTCGGAAACCCATTTCTGTCCTAGTTCGGGGCTCGGACTAGTTTTCTTTGCAGACACTGGCTCCTGCCCGGCCGGCGTGGTTTTTCGGTTACATTTCTCCGGCGGCCCCGGGGCGGGTGTGCGTGTCCCCACTCCCGGAGCTTTGAAGAGGCGCGGGTTTGTGGTCAAGCGCTGGGTTCGGTAAGTCCTTGTGCGGCCTCCAGGTCCAGGTTACACGGGCGGACCTGACAGGCATGTTGTGCCCCCCCCTCCCCGAAAACGGCACACCGCAGCGGCCCAGGAGGGAGACCCTTAGCTCCCCGCTGAGCTTGTCAGGAGCGGCGGGGGGGCCTGGACACCTGTGTTCTTCGGGTCACGTAGGTGGTGGTAGGTGGGGGGGGGGTCGCAGTGTGTCCAACTGGAAACCAGGGAACAGGGACACCGTGCTCCAGAGATGGGGCAGAGTCTGACGGAAGAGAGCGTGCACCTGTCACCTCCCCATGGCCGTGGCCTTCCAGAGCGCTGCCCAAAGTGCGGGGTCCCTCACAAGGGCCAGCAGCGGTTAGGAGGGAAGGGAGCCTGGACACCCCGAGACCGGCCCTCGGGTGTGCTGCCAGGGCCCGAGCCCGGGTCTGCCGAGGCCGTGGAGCTGGTGGTGGGGCCGGGGGCCGGTGGGCCTGGTTCCCTTCCCCTCTCCCCTCGAAAACCCACCCCGATTGCCCACCTTTGAAAGTTGTCAAGACAGGGGTCCCCGAAATCTCTTCGTGTTTTGCAAGTGGAAATCTGTTGCCAGGAAGTATCGATCGGTCTCTTTTCCCAGAGTATGCTTGTCTCTACTCCGTCCAGTGGGGTTTCGGGGTCTGCTTTGGTCTCCTTGCCACCACATCCCGGGGCGGGGGGGGCGGTGTCCCTTGGGCCCCCTGACGAGCCCTGATGCCGTTTCCCGTGAGGGGTCCGCACCTGCCTGCTTTGGGGTGGTTCCCACGCAGGAGCTCCTGTTGTGCCTAGAGCCAGGTGATGGTGATGGCAGATGTGACCGGGACGTGACAGGTCTGAGTGACGTCCCGTGAGCTGCATCTTCATCTCCAGTCTCCTCCGCTCTGGTCTTTGGCCAGCCTCGTACTGAGGGAGCTCTTGATAGGTGGGAAGGGCTTGCTCCCCCTTTGCTAACGGGAGCCCTGTGTGTGGGGCGCCCACCAGCATACGAATGTACTCGTGAGTTTGAGTCTTCAACGAAAGAGAGCCCCGCCAGGTGGTGACCGTACCTGAGCTGGCTCAGGTTCCTCTGAAGCGAAGGCTGTGGGGAGAGAGGAGGCTGGTGAGAACCGGGGTCCCGACTGTCCCAATCAGCCAGAGCAGAGGGAGGGCCGGGTCTCGAGGGCAGAGGGGTGATAGGAGCAGCAGCGTCACGTGTGGCCACATGGAGCAGATGTGTGACGGGCTGATAGCCTCCCTTCTGAGCCAGGGACCCGGGGACGGACGCTCACCTTGCTGGGGGTGGCACTGAGCCCTCGTTCCCCTGCCGTAACCTCAGGAAGTTGGTTTCGTGGAGGGTCTCGCGATTCTGACTCTGGAACCGGTGCGGGCACAAGGCTTCAGGGACCCCGAAGGCGCCTGGGATCTTGTGGGTGCTCGTGAGCGCTCGGCAGGGGCCAGTTCCTGTTAGGACAGAGCCCGCTCGTGTGGTGGAACTGGAGAGAGGTCGGGGGAGGATTTCACCTGGCACGTGTCTTACTAGTAGGACGGGGCCAACTGGACACTCTCAAGGGGAGAGTCCGTGGGAGAGAACTGATTCCAGGGAGAGAAGGCAAGGTGGCGTCCGGGGCGCTTTGAGAGGCGGTGCGGGCAGGCAGCGGGAGGCCGAGGCCGCTGGAGCCAGAAGCACAGAAGGTGGGTGACCCCAGCAGCCCAGTGATCCTCTGAGTGCTGGCAGGATGGGGCCAGAGGCCGGGCCTTGAGGGGCAGGGACTCGTTAACTGCCCGCTTTCGCTAGCGCCTGGGAGGTGGGAAGAGTCCTGACGGTCTGGTCAGAGAGGTCGTGCTTGGGGAGGGGGCCATTTCTTGCAACGTAGGGGCGGTGAGACCTGAACGGGTGGAGGGTGGAGATGCTCCCGTTGGCATTTTGGAGCTGTTCTGGGACAGGGTTTCTCCCCGGCCCTGCTGCCATTCGGGGCATCCTGGGCACCGCGGGGGCGAGCAGCATCCCCGGCCCCCTCGCACTCAGGCCCGGGAGCACCCCCGCTTGTGATGATCTCAGACGTCCCCAGATACTGCGCAGTGTCACCTGGGGGCAAGATCACTCTAAACGAGACACCTGTCTGGTGTCTACTCTTTTCGGCCCGGTTCCCAGTGTGTCCCTGCCGCTTGTTCCCCTGGTTTAGGTCTCGTCTCCCGTAGCGGGAACTAGTCTGACGCCTGCAGGGGGGGTCATGGTGTCGGGAGACTCTCTGGTCGAGTTCGTTCTGTTTTCAGGTTTCGCATCTGGTCGAGCACCTTGACCGGTGGTGCGCCCTCCTCACAAGCAGAAACTCACCCAGAGTACCTCACCAGTGACACCCTTCCTAGAGCACCTGCTGGGAGCTGGGCCCGAACTTTGTCCCCCAGGTCCAGCCCTTTCCTCTGCAGGGCAGACCGAGGTTTAGAAGGGCAGGGGACTTGCCCGGGGACCCCTAAGACGAGCCAGAGCTGGGAGTCCCGTGCTCTTGGTGAGCCAGGAGAGCCCTTGTAGGGAATGGCAGGGATCGGGGCCAGGCCCAAATGTGTACATTTTGTCCCTCAGTGAGGTGGTGCTGTCATCACAGGGTGACTGTCTCCATCACAGTGTCACACCCTGTCAGAATCGTGAGTAGCGTTTTCAGCAGCAGGTCACTTGTTTGAGGCTCTTGCCGGGTACCAGGGTGTGTGTGGCGGTGGGGGGGGGGGGGGGGGGGGGGGGGGGGGGGGGGGGAGCTTACAGTGGAAGGCTGCAGGCATCGGGAGTTAATGCCAGGCACTGGGGGTGTCCTGGGGTTCTCTCCTGAATGTGTCACTCAACCCCCACAGTGGTCGGGAGGGGGGGTGATCTCACTTTGCTGGCAGGAGGGAAGCCTGAGCTGCTGGGGGCAGGGCCGGCAGAGGCAGGTTCTGGGGTAAGGGCTGAGTCCCAACACTTGCCTTCCGGGTCTTTTCTTCTGTTGCGGTGGGAGGACCAGAAGTGGGGTGGCTCCCTGGCGTCTGGGCCGGTGCTGTGTGTTCCTCCTCGGACTGCTTCCCTCCCTACGGGGAAACAGGACATACTTAGGGACACAGGGTCCCAGTGTGACCGCACCAGAGGAGCAGGAAAGTGCGAGCATGGGCTCTGGGTTGCGTGTCTTTAAGTTGAAAGGGCTGTTGCCAAACAACCAGGATCAGTCCCGGGCCCTCCAGAGCTAAGCTAAGCTCTGTCGCACTGCTGCCTTACTGGTGGCTGTCTCACCAGGCACGGTGGCACTTTCTGAAGCCTGCGAGCATGCTGCCGAGGGGCAGAGCCTGCAGTGGCTGGCCTGGGCCGGGGGAAGCTGCCGAAGATTTACTTTCTGGCAGAAACAGCACGCGGCTGCCCTAAAGTACACGGAGCTGGAGCGGGGCCGTGCTCCAGAGCAGAGTTCGGTCTCAGTGGGTGGGCAAGGGGGAGAGTCCACCAGGGCCCGGTGCCCGGGTTACCCTTGCAGAGCCCCTTCCGAGAGGAGGTCGGCAGGAGGGCACGGACGGCCTCTCCCTGGCTCTCTGGGTGGTGGTATTGCCCATTCCCCCTCAAGAACCTGGCTCTCGGTCACCTGGGAGAGCCAGGAGGTCCCCTTGGCCGTCTGCGGGGTTCAGGGGCTGTGGGGGGGCCCCTGACTTTCCGCTTCTGCTGAGTAATGACTCTCGTGTGCTTAAGAGCAGGGAAGGGCTGGGGGGGGAACCACACAGTCAGCCGTCCGCTTCGTCTGCAGGGTCCCGTGTGTGAGCACCCGTTGACACCTGAGAGCCACACGCTGCCAGGTGAGCGTGTCTAGGCCGCCCCGGGATGGCTGCCGGGGTGAACGGTCTCACACTCGGCGCCGGGCGTGCATGCACATCCGTGTCGACCGGTCAGGGTTTTGCTGCCCGGGCAGCAGTGGAGCCGTGCCTGGCCGGGCCCGGCTGGACCTGCTAAACGCACTGTGGTCTCTGAGGCTCAGAGGTTGGGGCTTTGTGCTGGGGCTCTGGAGGGGCCCTACGCAGGACCTTCCGGAACCCGTTGGCACCTTGTGTCTGCGGACCAGGGAAAGCATGCCCTCGGAGCAGGAGGAGAGGAAGTAGAAAGTCCGAGAGCAGCTAGCGCTGAAGCCTGGAGCTCTCCTCCCCCACTGACCAGCTGTGCCTGTCGGGGCAGGTCCCCTAGAGCCTGCAGCCGGGAGACCTGGAGTCCTGTTGTTTCCGCAGCGAGGGACATCTCTCGGAACTTACGGTTTTATAGACCTTGAGCTTGCAGAACGTTGCAAAATGGTCACCAAGGTCCCTAGATGCTCTTTCCCAGCCAGACTCCCCAGGCTTACATTTTGCCCCATTTGTGCGTCCCCTCCCATACTCTGCGTCCGTCTTTTGTGAAGTATCGGGGAGTGAGCAGAGCCCTGTGTCCCTTTGTGAACAAGAATATTCTCTGAAATCAGCACAGCACAATAAAACGAGAGCACAGCGTTGATGCCTTTTTACCATCCAGTCCACAGGGCAGTCTAGGTTGTCAGTTGTGTGGGTGATGGTATTTCTGGTCTTTTCTCCTTAATGTCTGATTTTGAAATTTAAATAAGGGCTGGAACCAAGACTGGTCAGACGAGTTCCTTCCTTCCTTCCTAGGCCTGCCGCTGGTGAAGGATTGGGTTGCTTGGAAGGATACCTGCTTATGACCTTGCCGTTTTGGCTGGAGGCGTGCTAGATAGAGGCTGGTGTGTGGCTCAGAAAGTTAGGTTTTGTTTTGTTTTGGTGAAGAATGCTTGAGGTCTCTTTTTCCTGCATGAATTTGCGTTTTCACAGCAAACCCTTGTTCGCTACTGTGTGGAAGGGGTGGGCCGGCACGTGGCTCCGAAGCGGCTCCTCCTCCGGGGTGCCAGCCGGCCTGGGGGCCTGCAGCCACTCATCGGCTGGGTGCCGGGCCCTGCGAGGGCGGGCCGTCCTGAGTCCTGGCTTGCTCTGGGCAGCGCCCTGGGCCTCTGGGGAGGCCTCCCTCCCCTGGGAGCGTTTGGAGGTGGGAAGGAGCCTGGCCTGGCTCTGAAGGGTACTAGGAGACACGGACTTAAGTTAATGAGGCCTAAATGGAGGCCTCCCCCTGCTGCTTGATCAGCACGTTTCCTGAAACTTGCCCCTTACGGAGCTGCCTCGGCCAGATGTGCCTGCCCGGTGCCCCCCTCCCTGGACCGTGGCGGCCGGCTTGCGGGCATTTTGAGGCTGGCACTGGGTACCTGTCTCGTGGTGGGAATGGTTTCTCACGCACCGTGCGTGAGTTGCCTGTTCTCAGAGAACAGGCCACGGTAGGAACGAGCCCAGGGCGGGCACGCGGGGGTTTGTCCTGGGGTGGAGGATGGGGCACCCTGTCTGGCAGCCCTTCTTGGTTGCTCCGGAGTGCATTTGTCTTCAAGTCGCGCTCAGCTGCAGACGCTGGGACCGCGGAGCCCCGCGTCCCAGATGCGGACTGAGCCTTGGCCACCCGCTGGCATCTGAAGACCAATCAGGTGGCATCCAGGTCCCACTCTGAGGGTGACAGCAGTCATGCCCCCTCTTCCTGGGGGACGCCAGCAGCACAGAGCCGCCACCGCTACAGTTGAAGCCCCTCCTCTGCCGAACCCGCTCTCTGGGTTCGTGGGGGGCCCGAGCGGTGCCTGAAGGGGCCTGTGGGTCTTGGAGATACGTGTGAGCTCTGCCCCAGTAAGGGCTGGAGTAGCTGTAGCACGCTGGCCTGTCCTGGGACGTGCCCCAGTGCCTCAGTTTCCAGGCCTGGCCAGCCCGGGGGCATTGGGAACGGTGGACACCACCCTGTGGCCTGTTGGCGTTCTAGACCCCGCTAGAGGTGGGGTGTGCGGAAGAGGCAGGTAGGTGATAGTGCGATTCCTCTTAGGTTCCAGCCTGGGCTGCCTTGGGGCAGGAAGTATGGGCCAGGGTTTCAGTACTGAGTGATCTGTGGGTCCTTGCTCACGACCATGTGGACAATACCTGAGGCTGTAACCTAGAGCCCCCACCCCTGCTGCCGCTCTGGTTTGTTGAGTGTGCTTTCAGACCCGACTTCTAACTCCACGGTATCTGCAAGAGCAGTGGGGAAGTGTGCCCCGTAACCGCACCCCGGATCCTCTGCGGTTTGGGGGCTCCTGCTGGTGCATTTTGCAAGGTCTCGTTTTCTCACCGGTTTGGTCGGTGACGGTGTGCGGCTCTGGATGTGTCGTCTTTGCTTATGCGTCGTGACCCTCGCTCCCCGTCGTCTTGGTAGGTCTTGATGTCGTCTTTCCTGTCTACACCTGGCAAGGCCGGGCGGTGGCCACGGTGGACACACGTCGTTGCCACGATCGCACGGCACATGTAGGCACATCTCCACCAGCTTCTCGTGGATTGCCATCTGAGGAGGGGGCAGGTGGCTGACATGTTTGAGGCAAGGACTATCTTGACCCTAAACGTGTTCTTGTTGAATTGCAGGAAGCTCTTCGTGGGCGGTCTTGACTGGAGCACCACCCAAGGTAGGTGGTGGGGACCGCCTGTATGCCAGGCACCGTGCCTCCCCTTGGTCGTGAACGCGTGTGAATTTGTGTCTCGCTACTACTTTTGTGGGGGAAGGGTTTCTTTCCTTCTTGGTTAGCTTACTGTCTTGAATTCTGGGGAGGAGGGGCGCTGGACCGGGAGTCGTCCTGGAGTCCTGGCAGAGGTAGGGGAGGGACGTGGAGGGCAGACGAGTGTGGAGGTCTGCAGGCTTGCTGGCGCGGTCGCCGAGCTCAGGCCCCGGGCAGGGCCCTAAGCAGCTTGTGGTAGTCGACGTTCCCGGTGGCCGCCTGGCTCCCCTCACACTTCCCTTTTCAGATTGCCTTTGGCCACTGCCGTTGTCAGTCGCACCCCCGCTAATTCACGCAGAGACATGTGCGTCCGTGTCTAGGATCCCCAGTCCTTCCCCAGGGGCCTCCTGCCCTTTCCGTCTTCAACCACCCCCGTCCACTGATGTGCCAGTTTAAGAGTTGCTGGTTGCACTTCCCAGGTCAGCCTGAAGGGCCAGGAGCACGTGTGCGTGTGTGCTTACACACCTGCTGTGATACTGTGCTTAACGCTCTGGTGTGTGTGTCTGTGTTTTTGTCCCAATCTCTGAGCAGAGACTCTACGCAGCTACTTTTCCCAATATGGAGAAGTTGTAGACTGTGTGATCATGAAAGATAAAACCACCAACCAGTCTCGAGGCTTTGGGTTTGTCAAATTTAAAGACCCAAACTGTGTGGGGACGGTGCTGGCCAGCAGACCACACACACTGGACGGCCGAAACGTAAGTGTCCTTCCTCAGTCTACCACCCGCATCCCCCACCCCCCACCCCCCCCCCC